GCGCGGTAGTACTAAATACACCACAAACTATAGACTGCGGTCATTAAACTGTAAATGCTTGCGACTAGAGGAAATTCGATTATCTAAAGCCACTTTCCTGCATGGAATCCGATATGCCTAGTCTCCCATACGAGAATGTCTCATCTAAGAACTCATCCATAGAAGGGTTGACAGAAACATTTGTTCGTTACCGGCTCAATACAACCGAAACTCAAATGCTACCCTGCACACATGATGCTTAAACGCAGTCAAGCCCTCATTTGACACTAATATTGAGGCTGGTTGATGCGAACTCAGGTCTTATGGCGTTATCGTTAATTTTAGTCACCTGGGTTGTGTCAGAGGTAGACAGAGAACTTTTTGCATACAAGTCTTAGTTTCTAAGTCGAATCTCTATCATCTGTGCTATTAATTTTTGGTTTTCGAGTACAGGGGAGATGGACTGTGGTGAAATGAAGATGCTTCACTCGTAAAGGGCTTTCTGGTCGTAGGTCTAGAAAACATTTACAGAAAACCAAGAGAGTCAATCATTGATTACTACGTTGTCAAAGCAAGAAGGAACGTGGTGTAAAATTCCAATGGATTGCAAATGGAATTTAATATGGACAATACAGCAATTTTCCTGAACTTGTTGAGCCCTGTATTCTTGCTTTAAATCGTAGATAAAAGGCGACTATTGTTAATACGAAGAAAAACCATAGTACAAGGTCACGGTCAACAGGGATTTTAATGTGTTTAATATCGGCTAAAGCGCTTAAACTTATCGTCCAACTAGTGTAAACCATATGCTGCGGACAGCGAATAACCTGCTTCAGATCCGGTAGTACACCTTTATTTGCGAGTGCACTCAATCTGCTTCAACATGGGAAAGCTTCGAAGATTTGGAAGATAGTATGCCATGAGGAGGCCGACTCGTGCCATTGCTGCAGCTGAGTATTTGTGCGTTCGGGCACCGCTTATCTCACAAACTGGAAATGAGCATCGCATTCCGCGTAATCAGACAGAGAGCGACCGAACTGTATTCCAGCTAAGTCATACTTACACAGAAGCGTTACAGATGTATCATGAAAGAAAGTGTGTTTAAGTCAAAATAATGCACAAACCGATAGTGTATATATTGTTGGGGTTTTTAGGTCCTTTTACTTGTAACCGAATTTCATGTATTGGTAATAAAAGTTATCGGATGGGTCGGCCGCACCAGGCTATGATGGCTCGGCCACGTGTTACGCATGCCAGCCCACCGACTCCCGCGAAGTGCTTTGTTTGTGCGGCCAGGGTTTGGATGGAAGAAGAGGAGGGGTGGCCCATCGATGACTCGGTCCAAAGGAAGGAAGGCCCTCACTTCGGAGCTGGCCTCGGTTGGAGCATCTCGGCTCCGTGGTTGGGGTTCGAAAGACGATGAACACGTTTGGTTGGACACACTTGCGGATATGGCAAGGAGCCTACTTCAGTGGCGTTCGTGCAGAGTTTCTTTGTCCCACCCCATCCCTCTTAGCCTCCCCCTCCAAACACTATCTCATTGTTTAATCTTATTTAAATTTGCATAGTAATTTTTTGATGCACAGCAGCCGGCTGGTAGCTTACCGGAACGATGCCCATCCGTTATCAGTAGCTCAGCCGGCTTGCCCCAGCTGAATTCTTTTTTCTCTCCTTTTTTTCTGTGTATTGCGGCACAGTAGCTGAGGTGTTCCCCACCTCTAGCTAACATGTATGATGATGATGATGGATGGGTCAGCTGATATTTGAGAATTTAGGTTAATCTCTCTCAACCCCTCCGCAAGCTCATGAATGTCAACGTGACTGGACAAACCAAAATACCTATTATTTACCATATGAACAGGCAACCAAGCTCTTGCGGACGTAGCTGTAGAAAAATTATGCATACTATTTATTCTGAGTCTTTCGCGATTTTCAGTGATCTTTCACTGTGCTCCGCACCGTCAGTTACGTAACCCTTGTCTGGCCGCAATCTAAAAATTGTTCTTTTTCTTCCAACCTGATTCTGTGACTCAATCAAATCTGTTGAACGTTCCCTTTCACTAAAAGAATTTATTTCACCACACCTAATCACCAACACGTTTACCTGATTTCATCTTTATGTGAACATGTTAGCTCACGCTACATCTGGCGCCACCAATCGTATTCTAATCACGCTTGACTGTTTCAAGTTTATCTTTCCTTTCGCCGTTTGGAATTTGACAAAAGGTCCTTGTGTTGACACAACTGAGCAGGGTTACTAACTGCTAGTTATAAGTCAATGCCTCAAACCAAGTTCTTTTGCATACCGTTGAACCATTACAAGACTAAGCAAGAAGAAGGTCCTTGACACATAAACCAAACGCCCACGGGTTACTACAGCATCTTTATGCGGAGATTTATTACGAACCCGTTAGTTTACACATGTGATGTGACTTGATGCCACGCTTGTTGTCTATCTGCACGGACATGCAAGCCGTTGCTTGTGAGTTCTGTTGGAAACGCAAATTGTTACGTTCGTATTTTTATTGCTCACTTATTTGCCGATTCATTAGTGCCTCGAGTCACCAAATCCCACAATGTTCTTCTGCAATGTGGAATCACGCGGTCTAACTCGTATAACCCTTTGCCTTAATCGATGCAGAACGTCAAAAAATGCCACTTTATTAAGAGATGACTTTATGGTGTGCAGCTTGGTTATGCATGGGTATTTTGTTATGAAACATTTATGCATCGATGCCAGTATATCTACGGTTTCAACAAATTCATTAAACGCTGCTTCGATAGCTTCTCCGCTATAATGTACAAAACAGGGCCAAAGAACAAACCATTCGGGTCCTCAGTTTGCTAGGTCCGCACCTATTATTGCTTCTACAGTCAGCAAACAATGAATCATCTTATGATAATCCACTGAACAGGCTGCTACGAAGGGCGAGAAAGTGGAGCAAACTGATGGTGTTACCCATCGGAACTATCAGGCCTCATAAACCAAATTTTCCCGAGTGCTCAATATATTGCTTTAATACAGTCTAGACTGTCGGGTTAATCGTGAGCGAATTTCGTAACGTAAACTAGTACTTGACAAAGATCGGATAAACACTAACCAATATTTTGGACATAATTTCTCTGTAGAAGTTGTAGGGCTTTTTATCTACCTGTCTCAAACAAGATGCGGTTGAAAGACGCATTTCCGGTTCACGTAAAATTTACCGTTTTGCCATGATGTGAACGTTTGCTGCTAATTAAAAACCAATATATAATCAGCACAGATAGAGAAGAGAAATTTTTCACTCAGTATAATCGACCATTGAATAAGCATCTTTTCCTAATTGATATGACATTGTTGCTCCACTTTTTGGTTATTTTAGACCTACAAACCGATCGCAAAACCAATCTCCGGTCATTTGTTAACTAAACAATTTTTCTGATGATATGACCTGCAACAACATCTGATCCACTAGATTATAACGGCAGCTAAACGGTTCTAAACCTTTATTCAAATATTGCTGACTGTTTCTAGAGTATGGATGATACAGCTGCATTATCTTTACTATGAGAGCTGACAGCTTTCTCCCTGCTAGGAAGACAATTATTTGTTTCGTGTGCACAAATATTTCGAAGTTTGCACACGCATTATGTATAACGATCAGTTCGGTAAAACGCGCAACTAGGAAATGCTAATCCTGGCTGTAATCACTTCCGACGATCGACGTGTTTAGTAGTTTAATTTTCAAGTGTTATCTCTGTAACATGCCCCTCGAATACACAACATAGTAAGAAGCTGAACTTCAGTATATAATAAATGATCTAAGTTGGTGTACATTTCTGAAGACAATGGGACGTATCCATGCATTTTTTGGAATACGGCCACCGGTCTAAACTGCAGGGCAGGAGATTATGGAACCCGGCAGTTAGAAAAGCGTCAGAGTCTGGGTCTGAACACGTTTAACATTACACACACAATTACTCGTCGTTATTTTAGGTTCTTAGGTGCTGCCGCAATAAAACGAACAGATGGCACTTCGGAAACGACCACGCTCGCCTGACATAGCGCCACATTGGTTGCACGGGTGATTTGTTAACACAACATACCGAAACATTGCAGCAAGTTTCAAATGGTTCTCGCTCAGTCTTAAAAATTTAGGCATTTCAAATTTGGCATAATATCACATTTCTTCGCGTTTCGTCACAAAACTTTTAGCGCTGCAAATATTACATGTATTTGGCACGGAAGTTGCAAATTTCATAGACCACATGGGCAAGTTATTTATCCAGATTCTGGTAACCATGATTTTACCACAAAATTTCCATTACTGGAATTCGTTTCATCTTCACAGTTACATAGATCTAGTCAATGTCTGAAGAGTAGGGCCGTTTCCGGCAACCCAATCAAGATCCGCTAACATAAATATTCACACCTGTCCCTCTACTCATGCTGGATGAAATCAGTTAAAACGTCGTTTAGTTCATAAAGGTTACTTAAGAATCCAATCAATTGGACAGTGTACAGAATCTTGTGTTGTTCATAAAAAGTTGAAGGATTTCTATCAGTGTACTCGAGTGCGTACAAGTTAACGAACGTTGCATTTGTAACAAGGCACTGTCATTTGTTACACACAAATTATTTCATTATTTATTATTCACCTCTAGCGCCTCCTGCAGCTAATCGGAACACAAGTTTGCTGTGGGAAACAATGTCAGTGGAAGTTGTTTATGCGAGGCAACGAACGTTGTTTTGCAACTAAGCTTGGCGAAATCATCTTCTTACGTTTAACTTATTCGTTCCTTTATTATTTATTTATCGCCGCTTCTACATACCGTTAGAACTCAGGTTTACTTACCAAAGTTATTGTAAATTATAAATGAATCATATGAGTTGTTTTCCAGGGAGGGTATAGCAAATGCGCAGCTACTATCGGATAAACTGTCGCAAAACAAATATAGAGACATCGCACGAGCGAGTAAGGAATATCGAAATATTGCCAAAATATTTATTTCTTGAAAATATTATTCTCAGGAATATCGCTGGTTTAAGCCGCTTTGTTGGCATTTGTACAGAAGGAAGGACGACATAACCGACAATAGGCAATCCAGTGTTCCTTAACTCGTATCCACTCGATTATTCATTTTGGGAAAATAGATGAATGCAATCCTTTTTGATGACCTGCAGTTTCATGAGAAACAAAAGAGTATAAGTGAAGTAACAATCAAAATTTTTCTTTTACATGCATAAATCATATTACACTACTTTCTAGTTCTCCAGTTCAGGTGGAAAAGCTTCATTCTCATTAAGTTATCATTAATTAGCCTTGCTTCAACATTCAAAAAGAAACCTTGTTTTCAAGGCGTTGTATTGTTATCATTACCAAGTGTGCGTTGCGCACAAACAACATTCAACGTTAAAAGACACACATGCGTTACGCGAACAAAGTGTATTTTCTACTAAGTAGTGGCTGCAGACTGCACTTCATTTGCACTGAAAATTTCTAACGATGTAATGGGATGACTCTAAGGTACCAAGGCTCCTGTTTCATAATGGAACGTTTTTTTTACCGACCCATATCAACGCTGCGATCGCTTATTGTCCTGGCTGTCAAAGATACACAGAAATCATCGCTGTATGTATTACATTTAGATTCTTCGTGCATTCGTTAATGCAATCATTAGTAGAACTTAGACGGTTGGGTACATCGCATGATTTGAACCCCATCTAAGAAGTCCAAGATCATATTTGGCAAGTTAACTAAGAAATATATTATATTTCTTCTTCTTGCTGGTTTGGGAAAGCGATCCGAAAAATGCATACCGCTACAGTCGAAGAAGAAAGTTGCCTACCAAAACCAATATATGCCAGTTTTGCTTGGTTGTAAAGCAAATAAGGAAGAAAGTGAGGATTCACTTGGCTAAATTCTTTAGTCCATTTACGCACATGAGACAAGTTCAATAAGCGCATAGGAGTATACCGTTTAATTTTCGCCCGCCAACTGTGGTCATTAGTGTGTAACGGGTTTGCATGAAATCTTTGCTGCTCCAGCACACATATATTTTGTCTCCCAACTTATCCATCGAAACATAAAATGCGAAAACTTACATAATTTTTATGACCGTGATAGAAGTGGTAAGCCAGAAAAATACTATCCTGGAATATTAACGCGTCGTAAATGGAGACAAAAACCTATGGCTAAGTCCACTTTGGACCAACTTTTTATAAAATAGACTTTACGGAATTAAGAATAATTTGCCATATTCATGAAAATGAGGTTACTAACAAGGCTTACTAGAGACCGTATAATCAAAAACGTCCCCCAAATGGAATGAAATGCCAATTACTGGAATAACCACAAATTTTGTTTAAAATCCACACATACGACTAGCACAACACGGTGAAAAAATGCAAACACCTGTTGATTCAAATCTACTTCCGCAAATGCATTATTCTTCGGCAGGCATCAAAGTCCGGATTGCGCAATTGGATTGGAGGTGCATTTGTAATGAATTATTTCTACTATATCTTGCCGAGCAGGTGCAATTTTACCTTAGGCTACGAGAGTTCTCCGGCCAATGGAATGTTAAGAGAGTTTTTGCTGTTTTAGACAAGAAAGGCTTAATTAAGCACTACACCCTAATCCATGAGTTGGCATCATTTGTGTAGATATTACAACCATCGATAAATAAAGGTGCAATGATTAGCAAGTTTCTGAAGATATTCGTTGTCTGGTCTCTCTGGCCTATCGCTACACCAACCTTTGTGATTCAAAGTCCCACGCAATCAAGTGCGTACGCTCTTTCGAGCAAGTTGAAGAGCGCTACTCAGTGTTTCCTATCTAATGGATCTAACTGGAATGTAACAAATTGTTGCATCAGTTCACAATATTCGAGTACATGTTACCTAAATCTACATGTGCAACTAAATCATTACTAACTATCAGAAGCTGTTCTCAAGTAGGAACGGACCAAAAATGTTTGCGTGCTTTTCATGCTATTTTAATAATGATCGTTAAAATTTATGTGAGCGAAAAAAGCAAGTTTAGGTAACATAAGCAAACCAAATTATTTTGCTGCATTTTTTCAGTCTTTCAATGAATAAGAACTCCTCACAAACACATGAAAGCTGGTCGAGTCAGGGAGGAGAATGAACTGAAAAAGGATATGGTCCAAATTTCATATGCATGTGTTATTCATAATTTCAACAGGCATCCCTGATGCTGTTGTCGAAAGCTTTATCCAGAGGTTGTGGTGTACCAAATATTAATCGCGTTTTGAATGGTAAACTTCTGATTACGTAACGATCAAAAGTACGCGGTGTAAACCATATTCTCTTTGTAGATTTAACCAATTATTTGATTAGTGGACCAGAAAAAGCACCCTACGATTCTCGTTGGAATGGTGTTGGAATGTTGACCATTACACTTTGTTGCGAATCTAGTAGCCGAAATTAAAAGTACTGGGAAACTCCGCTATCAGGATTATGCATATGGTGGTTTCTGATTGCGTATTAAAAACATAAGTTAAGCTTTACTCTCAGAAGCTAGACTGGATAAAATCAAAGTTACCACAACCCTCTCCTTATGTCTTCTTTTAGGAACCATCGTATAACATTTCATAAGGCGACGAGGTACCCTCACTTGAGCAAAATTTTGCAGATTTATGCAGATTTGATTAACCAAAGAACAGTATTCCATACAACGCAATACATGTTTGTAAAGTCATATGAGAGATTCTGTGAGATAAAAATGTTGATATATGTAACTCAGGGTTTTCAGGGACTTCTAAAGTAGAAAGTAACTATGTACAGGAAACTTATAGGTAATAGAATATTGCACGCTCATGTCGAGAAATACCCCGCGTTGCGAGGTGTATGTGTCTTGCAGTAATAAACTGGCGGGTGGTACTTGTCATTGGTAAGACAATATCACACTTGCCCAATACAAAAGACGTCTACCACAGTTAGCAACTGGAAGCATATGCAGAGAAGACATACTTAATGAGGTACAAGACAGCCTTGGTATTTCCATGTTCTTGTGAGTAGACAACTTTATTTTTATCAACAAAAAGTAAAAATAGTGCTATGTCTTATACTTGATGCATATAACAAATTAATATTAGAAAAAGATTTGAGCCAAAGACACACACTTGTATTACTCCACTGATGAGGCATTTCGGTTTAGAGAAATCGTCACCAATGAGCTTTTCGGAAATACTTTTGGTCTCATACAGATGAAGAATCAATGTACTCTCAAATGACATTGCCACAATCCCTATAGCCTGCAGCATAACAGATACGGGAAATTTTACTTTGCTCATCCAGTAAACTTTGCACCTGAGAGACTTAGGTACACCTGTCCGCACACCGCTGGCATCATTGCGTAACATGGGCCGATCAATACGCTCTGCGTATTTGTATGGGGTGTGCGCACATCCGCGTGAAGGCCGATTGCTGAATCCGGCAATATGATGACTGCGGGAGTGAGGAGTGAGAGAGCTACCATTTTCGACAGTCTAGGGTCCAGGAGTGATTAATCGTTCACACAATTTTACTTGACTTGTTCGGCGCGGGCGGCCGACGCACACTGCTTAAACGTGTCTGCGGAACGTGCAAAGGTAAAAAATTAGAACTTTCTATTCTAAGCGCTTTAACTTTTTCCATGTAAGTTGCGGAAATATTAAGCCAGGCGGGTTATGGCTGCTCAGGAGCAGACCAGATTCATTTTGGTTCTTTATGACGTAACCCCATCCTATTATTTAGAACAATAATTGCACTATTCAAAAAGCATGAAGGGCTGTAGTTTAGCAAATATTAGACACCAATAGCCTCGTCTGGAATAAGTGCGGTAGAATTTACCACAAGGCTTCTGAACCGAACTCCACTCAAGCCAAATTTACAAAGGTTGCTGTTACACTGTGACTCCTTCAAACACCACTACTACTCCAAACCGCCAATGCGTTTCACTACCCATTTGCATCAATTTCACCGAAATCCATTTCCGCTCGCCAGACTTCGCCACAACTCAAGCAACGACAATTTCGGTGTCAACCAAAGTGTATTTGTATCTAAGAATAATCAAAAAGCAGCAGATGCAGTTACTACTACCATACCCCAGATAAAAATGTGAGGAGACGCATCATTGTTGCGTAGAATCTCGGCCGGTCTCCCAAGCAACCATCCATGACCCTCTGAACCGCATCCTAAAATAACAAGATGCATTGTCCATAATATGTGACAAGCTTCCAGTTAACATGAAGTTCATTGAAATTGATGCAGATGGAGGAACTGAGCCAATAAACTATTACTCCCAACTTGCTCTACATTTTTGTTTAGCCTATTAATTTGCCCAGTGCCACCCGCCACCCAAATTTCAGGCACTATGTTCTAGCCACACGTCTTCAGATTGTGTCAAACTCTGTTGATGAGGTGAAAGCCTTCACGCTCCCGACAGCTCTTCTCCAGCATGGATTATCTGGTCCGCTTCTTTCAATGTGCTATGCGACGAGCTTAAGCGTGTAAAGCATAGCTTAGAAGGGTTCTGCCTAAGCACTATGGCCAGAATCGTTTTTGTCCATGGTTTCCCCCAGTCTTGAGCATGATGAATGCAAAGCAGACGCTCAATACCAGAAGTAGTTGTGCTATATTCGTCAGACCCGGCTCTTGGATGATATTGAGGCCGCTTCTATTTCCAGAGTGTCAGGATCAGCAAGCCCTAAATTGTGCAGTGCAAGGATAATGAAGTTTGCATTACAATCAGAGGAGATGACACATAGGCCACGGCAGTGATAGCATTAATTCCGGAACAGACTGCTAACCGAGTTCCGGTGCGTATCGGGGTCACATCAGCAAACAAACTAATTAGGGACTTCACTAGAACTTCACAATGCCATCTGATCTGGAAGAAGTCAGCATCTTCCGATGCAATCATGCAAGCACTCTCCATTCACATTCTATATTTAGTTACTCGTAGGATTGTGCTGATCACAATCGCTATCGAATCATCAGTAATGCCACCAAAAGACTACGAGCGGCCGACCACGCAATCATAGTAAACATCTAATCTAAAAGACAAATCTTTCGGCTGGCTGTTGAGAACCGAAACAACTTCCTTAATTTACTCTAGTGCTTAAGGCCACTGAAATAGAATTGCCGATCCCCAGTCGGTCAAGGAAAAAACGTTTGGTTTTTAATCTTCATAACCAAGGTTTGGTTGAATCAAAAAGAAGAATGCTGTGGTAGCAATTCATGGTGTGGCACTGTACCAAACCATGGTCCCAGGACGAGAGGTAGTATAATCCTATAATTTCGCATCGGGTTACCATGCAAACCATTAGATGATCCGGAGACACGGTCCCCGCTTTATTATGGTGCGCTTTTGCCCCTCAGGTACAATAAGTACTGACACTTGGCATTCCCTTATAGCCCCCTATCGGCCACTCCAGAAATGGGTTATTGTTAGATATCGGCGATGACCAGCAGTCTACTCCCAACTCGCAGCCTCCTTATTATCACTGTTGGTTTCAACTTGTACCACCTGGACCTGTTGGCAGTCTCCAGAGAAACTTTCAAGGCAGAACTATAAGACTTTACTTCAAGTATTACATTGTGCATTCACATCACCTTCCCTACTAGGTACAGAGAGAAAAACAAACTATCGGTACTAGGCCTCTTACTTGCAACTATGGAACTCATGGTCGACAGACGATGAATATACACCGCACTTGGGCTAAGTAAACATGTCACTATACTTTATGCAAATGTGTGTTGCAATGGCTGTCCAGAAGCACAGACTGAACTAACACATACTATTACACTCCACATCAACTTGATCGATCTGGTTTTGACAACATGTTTGCCATTCCTGCAAGCCGGCGGCCATGACAGCGTTTGGATTCAGTTTGTTTGAATCTTCAGCAATCGGATATTAACCGTTTAGGGAATTAAGCGGTTTCCTTCCACCAATCAGGCTTTATTCACTTGAGGTAGAAGTCATAATCACATGTCACCAGGAAACGCAGCCTGGCCCACTGACCGAGCCCATCCTGGTCCCTAAACCTAGAACCATCTCAATACACTTGTATGTGAATACTGAATACTGGAATTAGTGAGCGAGAATACACTAACCAGTGTTGTTCCATCATAGTTGCATCGGGAACGTGTGCGGAATCACGTCGCGGATCCTGCGCGTTGCTAGCAGTTTACAGCCCCATTACATATTATCCGGGTGAGGACAAATTTACTCACCAAGGATATTTGTCTTGTCAATTTGCGATAAATCTTTACCTCCTTCATAAACTTGTAAGTATCTTTCGGAAAGTGAAGCACGGTTTTAGCCCCCATTGGCACGACAGGCGGAGTGGCATTGGAAGCTGAAGAAGCAGCCAATGCTCTACGGATGTGGTATGCCCTGACCCTCTAACAAGAGGTCTGTCGCTGTTACGTATCCATATTCATAGCCTTAATGTTAAAATTTATTAACCTTGCGTTCACTGTCACAAATGTGTTGAACAAACGGAGCTCAATGTGTACCTACAGTTCTTCCGGAATCGACGACATTCACTCGAGTGTGATAAATGTAACAACAACCACACTAGCAGAGCCATTATCCTGTTTCTTCTAAAAATGCTTGGATAAGCAAACTTTACCTATCACTGAGAACCATTGTATGATCACGCCAATAATCAAAAGATGCAGCCACTCGTACCACGCAAAATTTCTAATAGTAGTCCTCTTCCGTGTGTTCTAAAAGAAGATGGAGAGAATTAAAGCTGGGGCTTTGGTCGATTGTCTGGTATGCTACAACCTCATGACATCGGGGCAGCTGAGTTTCTGCCCACACCGATCATGCACAGCCAACCTACTGCATGCACTAATTAATTGGACGGAAGTGACCAACCGACATCATTTACACATAATTTTTCAAAACCAACGGCTGTCTGGAAAATCGCATTCAGCTTCACAGACTCGAACAGTAGAGTGTTGAGGTTCCTGTCGTGGGATGCGTCAGAAGTTACCTGCGGTAACAGCCACTGCACGTTAGAGTTCGGAGTGCACTGCCTATATAATTCATGTCAAGGTTTGGGTTTCAAAAGATTGGTTTCAGGATCGCGTCTGTTTCTCGTATTCATTGATAATCATACGCGTATGATTCCGTCAGGTTATGGCTTTTCTTTGATGGTATCAAGCTGTAGTTGGACATTACCTAGCAAGATCACAATGCCTTCAACTAGACATCGATAGTGCATGTAAATGATTATTGCACATTCTGTCCCAGTTCATCTCGTCTAAGTGCATGGTGTCCATATTCATCATAAATCGGACATCGTATACAAGCTTGGAGACAAAAAAGCACAGGTGGTCACCTAAAAGAGTAACCGTAGATCATTAAACTAGGCTGATCCGAGCTCCTCAAAACAATCAGAGAATGCGTTAAAAGATTGAAAGCCAACACGGTGGCATGTTGCGCAGCGTATTCGAGCGGTTTGATCTCTCCGTCTGTCTGCAGCTGCTTAACACACGCGTGTTATTTAATGTGGAATTTGCAATTCAGATCTGGCAGCCCTGGCTAAATAAAGATCTCGCAGTCTCGATAATACACGGCGAAGAGCCATTAGGCAGGTCAAATGGTTGTTGCATGATTATTTCAACTTAGTTTGTGGACCCAAAGATTGCACAGAGGTTAATCTGGTAGTGTAATAATAATGATCTACCGGATTCTTCGGAGTCCCAATCACTTGCGCCGCCACCTGTGGTAACGGCCACAACATGAGTTCAACGGCCCACGAACTCAATTTTGCCACACAGTACAGTCGGCTAGAATGTTGACAAAACTTTTACACAATTTTGACGGCCAGTCAAGGAACGCCTTCCTAATTTACGCAGTTTTCGCCTCACTTTGTCTTTGTTTACAAAATGTCTTGTAGTTTCACTAAGCAATCTATAATACGATATATAGTCCGTGTAATTTGACAAAGTTGCGCGAACAGCATTAACCCAAAGAATCGTGATTGTCACTTTATGTGTTAATCTGTGCGAAAACTAGGATGATTCAATCAGACTTCTTTTCATCATAAAATTATTTTTCTTTCCCACTATTTAGTGGTTCGCATTATGGCTACCTAACCATCTTTGTTAGTCACTTGATTTATTACCCGTTACACCTTATTGTTCCATACGTCTGATAAAAGTCAGATCAATTCGGTTCTAAATTGGGGACATTTCAGAGTGAACTGGTATATTAGTCAGTTGCATAGACATTATTTACCGGAAAATAAAGATGACTGTAAATTGTCTGAGTCCATAAGTTGACAAAATATCTGATTTAATCAAGTTTCTTTGAAACAGTAATAAAAGTAGTTGAAGCAAGAAAAAACGTTGTCACCATCGCTAAATGTCTTGAAGTTGGATCCATACTGCAAATAGATTTTCTTTTTTAAAGTTTATTTAAATTAAGAAAGAAATCAGAAGCCACAGAACTTCCTAAATGCATCCCTAATCCTTAACTCTATATGCTTTACTGATGCTTGGATGATGACGGAAAAACATGGACTACGAACGCTGCCCCCGTTTATCACAAATGCACATAATCAGAAGCATGCATTTCAAATGGTGCTTGAGAAACCGAATGTAATATGCTTATCCAAGCTACAATAAGGGTTGACTGAAGAATTTGAAAAATCAATAGCACTCAAAACACCCAAGAAGAAGCTTAACACCATCCGGGAATGCTGTTTCGCCAAAGGAACCAAATAGGATAATGACTTGTGGCTTTATGCAGTGTTGAAAAACAATCACTCTCAGAGGTATGCAACATAATGTTAAGGACTCCAATCCAACCGAATTTGTTGCTGCTGTGAAATCAAAACTGAAGTCATACAGCATCGATCATGAAGCATAACAAGAGAGTAGTCACAAGATCGTCCCTGCTCTCATTCATAAAGCTGTAGCCAAGATAATCAGCGCTACTGAATAAAAAGCGCTGATCAGCCCAAAACACACAAAAGCGTAGTTATATTGTTCTAAGAAAAGTACGTTGTTTGCTTCTAGTGGACAAGACAGATTACCTGATGAAAGCACAACTGTACAGTAATAATTATATACACCAACCGATAACATACAGCCGGGAAACGCATATAAGGAAATATTAGGCGCAACCTGTTGCTAAAAAACAATTAGAACAAGAAATAATAACACCAAGAGACGTTGTACTACTGCAATTGTAAACCCCCATAAAAGTTCATTAAAGCTGGATGTTTTTCCGCTCCATGATGTCTCCGCTCAACAAATCGAGTATAGGCTTGCAAACGATCTTTGGAGAAACCTAAAACCTATTTTTGAGGGATCAAAACACTCGATCAACAGAGAAGAAAAATTCCTAGCAACTCTCAAAACCACAGTCATAGAATTAGACGAAATATTCGTCACTGTTGATGTAACTTTGCTGCGTACATAAATCTGCAGTAACTTGACGAAACATGCAATAATATTTCTAATGGAGAAACACGCAGCTTCAGATACAACTACCTAAATCAACATCACAAAGTTAAGGAGTCACTGTTATTTTCTCTACCACATTTTATTTCCAACTGCCAAATCTACGAGCAGATTAGAGACGCATCAACGGGATCACCGATCTCTGGACTAGTAGAAAAAACAGTGGTGCAGACGCCAGAATGAAGAGCACTTTCATATGGAAAACGGAAAGCTTGAGCAAGCAACGTAGATGACAACTCCGTTATTCTTAAAAGTTCACAATTGGAGAACAATAACTAATCATCAGCGTGCTCGACAATTGTTATTTTCAGGCTTTCCCCTAAGTATGACTGATTCTCTATAGCTGGAAAGGACGGTCTATCGAAACTTAAAAAAATACGGACCAGATCATCAAGTTAAACATTAATCGGACAACAGTCTACAAGTGCAGCTTTGCGCTAACCCTTTACAAATGAGCATGGACACATTTTAGCGTACCACTATTTAGGTAGACAGAGGAAAACTGCACGTTCAGCTTTTACAAAAAGAATTCGAATCAAGCGGCCTCATTCTGTTTCTTTCGTCTGTTATCCTAGAGATTTACCCAAACGTTGTAGGGACATTGTCCCATTAAATTGCTGCCTTCGTGTGTTTGGTTATTGTACGCTATTTTATCCGGAGCTCGGAAGAGAGGCTGCTGCGACCTTCCTTGTTAGCAATCGAATATCCTAGTTGATATCTGTATGGATGGAAGCATCCCTTTACCAGTTTGGGCAATAACATGTACAACTTGACGACCTACACAACCTTCAGGTCAATTGCCCTAAACCTTTTCAAGAAGAGCGTCACTCGAATGTAGCATCACTGACGCTGGACCTTGGTGGTACTTTTGCGATCACCACGTACTCCAGCATTGGTTACACAGTCTTCAGCGATGGACGCGCTACGGACTCCTTCTGGTATTCTTCCGAGTTATACTTTGCCTGTTTATACTTGGTCCACGAAGTATCCGGCAGGATGCGGTTAGAACATTACCCATTCCGGAGAAGAGCTGTCGATGACATAACTTCTTTTGCTTTATCAGTGGAACTTACCAAAATCGGATTATCCTCGGTTCATCACTGCGCTCAGGGTTTGTGTGACTGGTACCCGTGTCAAATGGATGGGTTTAACAACAGCGCTATTGACGTCACAAATGAATTGTTACTGGTTCAGTAGTCTTGTTGTCTTCTAAATAAGGCTTTTGATGTCCATTCTCAATCGTTGGTACACCATATAGCCTTTTAATGATAATTTGCGAGGTGCACGTTGAAGTCGGCTGTCTCTATGGTTTGCATAAAACTGGTGAAGTTTGTGTAGGTAAAAGTTAGCCTTTGGATTATATTTCCATTCTAGATGTAGTAACTAAATTTCTAAGTATCTCGGTGCCCTTGGCAGCAACCACGATCTGATCACCACCAGTGTCTACATGATTCATACATTTGGGAACAGTTTGGGAAATAGAACAGGCCCTGATGCTATTTATTTCTAAGTAAATGGCAGTGGTTTTTCCGGGCGTATTAGGGCCATTGGTGTTTAAAATGTTCAAAGCCACAAGTGTCACATTATTAAAGCTCTGCTCAGACGTATTTATCCGTTTTAAACTGCAGACTACTGCTGAGAACCGACTTTTACTCGTTGGTAACCCTTTTGTTTATGGCGCAAATGTGGTGTTTCACATTTGCGCAATCATTGCCGCCAGTCTACTTGTTTCTGGAATAGTTAGTGGGAAAGATATGATAGTTATACGGTTGACCATACTACACAGAACCGAAATAAATCTCGTATATTATTATGATTTATCAGCTAAATTACCATGGGCTTAGTACACAGCATAATAAACTCCGAGACAAGAGAAACAGAGGGCATGAAGAAGGGCACGAAGAACATCCATATACTTCTCTCAGTTTTGGCTTATTGTATGGCATATAAAAGTACGTCTTGTGTCTACCGATCGATGTCTTTCATATCAAGGGCTGAGTGCGCGTCGCTGTCATTTTACTACGCGCAGAAATGGCGATTTTCAACGTCGACCAGTTCGAAGCAATATCTTGGGCGTCACAGGGCTCCTGAGACAGTTTTAGGCTGCTGGATGGTTTCCATGAAAAATTTGCTCGGAGGTGTAAACAGCATATGAGGGAAAGGGGATAAACTTGTCCCATAGCTACTAAACTTGACGGTTGATATCTTCGGCTGCTTTTTTCCTTTTATGTATTCCGTAGCTCACCATCCTTCGCGAAGCCAAATATCAATGTTAGACTTAGTATTCAGTAAATGTCCTGTATATTTTCGCCGAAAGTGTTCGAAAACTGCTTTACGGCGGTAACAGGAAATCTGCACAAGCTAATTCAAGGAAAAGCGTCGCTAAATTAGCTGGCTTGCATGTATGAAATTACACCTGCATGTGATGAGATTTGTGACAGTAAGTACGATCATAGTAAGATACGAGATGAAACGCGACCGCACAGCAGTCCGTGTTACACTCATTACTTGAGGACAAGTGCCATAATTTGATAGGTTAGATCACTTTTAGCGGGTTTGTGAATACAATTTCGGGTCTAGTGCTAAATTTCAAAGCTAATTACTGAACTTGAACGGAACTTGTTCTCTAACTTGTCACAAAGCCGGACAGGCATGCGTAAACTTTACTACCATGTTTGCTTTGTCTGAAGGAGGACTCGACTAAAACAAAATAGCAATTCAGTCCTACCGTTGATCGTTGTACTGTTTTTCATAGTTAATTTAGAAGGGAATAGAGTGGCTCATGAAAGTTTCAAAAGCAATTATTCAGCTGCTCACGGCGCACTGCTGTTCGTTGAGTAACCATGATCATTATCATTTCCACCGCTTTGGTTTCAAAAAAGAAAGAATGTTGACCGTTTCATTACCCTAACCTAATTATGCCGATATTTATAGGTAGCACAATATTTGGAGTACGAACAATCGATATTTAGCTAGCACATTATAGGTTTGCCTACTTACCTCACCATCTACATTTTTTATCTTTTATCGACTATTTCCTTAGCCATATACTCCACATTGTCGATTAAACAAATATCACAGTGTAGGGTTTGTGTAAATCTTGACGCATCCCATTACTTTCAGTAACTTTATACACTATATAGAACCTGCTAATTAAATTTGACTTACAACAATCTCCAGAACTGCTGATATTATTAGTACTATGAAAAATAGTGCATTTGTAAACATGTAATCAAATTGATTTTGCTCCGTCCTTACCAATTTAACGAATTACTGATGTATCATCCCACTTTTCTCATAAAATATAACTGCACCCGGATTTCACTGAGCAGTAAGTTTAAGAACGTTCTAGCAAAACAAGTACTCAATTAACTTTGCTGAACTAACTTGGTTGAGAATGCAGATGTGATGAGGGATTTAGCTATATTTAATACACGGAAACTATACCGATGCTTTGCGTGCAGCCGTTTCTGAAAGTACATAACTTTATTCATAGATTAGTTTTTGGAATAAACAGAATAATGGAAGTTTAAAACGTTTGTATCTAAATATGTGACTTACATTATTTGTCTTCTTAAAACTTCACAGTTGTAAATTGGTTTTTTCTCCTTCCAGCTTTCGCACGTGACTGGATGGAAAATACCCTGAACGGCCTTCGCAAATCCCGAACCACCAAATAGGATCAGAACTCTCTAGCACGTTCACCATCCTGTTGGAACTAAACATACAAGATTGATTTACGAAGGACTAACGTGGCATTTATTATTTAAACAGGTATATCGGTAAGTTCTGAGAACAATACGTCAGGAACTCACTGAAGCTGAAGTTCATCGTTTAGTCTTGGGATATATTCCTTTATCACATAATATATTGTGGGTGCTTCGGCCTAAAACGTTTATAAGCAAATAACGCAACATAGTGGATTAATATGTTGCAATTAAGACGAAAGGCAACACTGCGGTACGCTTGCCTATTATAATTACACCTAAAACTTACATTTTATTTGGTTATCTACCGCAAATTTGTGAGTGAAATAAAGAACAAACAATACAAGCCACAATTATTACCCCACGTCTTCTTTAATGTATCCGCAGTAAACAGTTAGCCTAACATATCTATCAGAATAAAAAGGCAAGGCGGCATCATAAATGCTTATATAATGCAACCTGAGCGCATGTATCCATCGGTTCTACTAATCACATTACAACCTTGTACACAGAGTTTACCAGTTTGTTATGATTATTTACAACAATCGCAGGTTTTCTAAACGCTAGAAGATGAGATTTAGTGCCAGCATAAAGCTGTAAAGCATGTTCCTAACAAACAATCTCACTAAGTACCTATGCTAATCAGCATGGTATCACGTAAAGCATATATAAAAACTATAACGAGTTTAATATACAAGTATTATTTAAGTGCAGCTACGATTCAAATTGATGGAAACGTAGACGGTATTACGATCACAAACAATTGCCTCCATAAAAGAGCAATTTAGTACAAAGCTGCTGGCATGTTTCCGAGTCGTGCACTATAAAACCGTACAAACAATAAAGTATAAAACATATAATTTCTGTAAAAACGTTCTATAATACCTTTATTATTGAATGAACTGGGGGCAGACATAACTAGATTAAAGACAGCACGTTGTGACCAAAAGACTCAACTTAACAGGATGGGTTCCATGTTGACAATTTTTAGATTAAGCATACAAATGCACATATATTTTAATGCACTGTATAAGTGATAAACCTTACATGCAACAGTTATGTATGGAATTGCGCTACATGCTAATGTGTTCCTTTGGGCAAACAATAAAAAGTAAACCCAACTAGCTTGGTTAGTCGAAATTCCACTATGATGAGTACACGAATACAGAGCCTTAAATTTGCTGCTTTTACAAAAGCAGCTTGTGTTTTGTTAGATCATACCGTACTGTTTGTTATTAGTCGTTTCAAGGAAAAACGGTGCAGGTGTTTCCTTGTCTGCTACTAGTAAAAATATTATGAGCCATTTAGACTCTAGACTTTATTTACCAAACCTTGTGGTGAATTGTGAAATGACCACATATCCAATTATAATTTAACCTGGAGAAAATCATAAGAATAGAAAGACAATATTGATGAATGTATTTTCTCAGAGACAAAACTAAACAAATTCCACCAACCTTCATTAGGCACTTTGGTTACGTGCATAAGAAGAGAGTTTTTTAATACAGATCTCTCATATATTTAGTAGTATTCTAACTGGATAGAAACAGATATTTGTCAGGTGGAAGAAGATTATTCGTCAAAAAGGCACCAAATAATCGACACGAAGAAACATAATGTAACATGTAACTTGACTTTAGAGTACGCAACCGTGACGCAAACCAACGCACAAGTAAACCACTGATATTTAAACCGCAGGCACTCAAGCTTTAGAACAAATTTATCAGAAAAACTGCAATTGCAGCGTACTCGCATGTAGTACGACTGGATGGCATGCGAATCCTTTCTATCCAACAGCAAATCGGGGAGCACAGCTCTGCAAATATTGCAAGGACCTGCGCTAAGTAAACGAATATATTCTATTCAAATGGGGATTAGAGTACAGCTTGAAAATTAAACTGTATACAAGGTTCTAATTTTTGTTTAACGCCGTTCCTTTAGTAACCAGTTGAGCAATCGAATAATCAAGAAGCACAAGTCCTAGTGCTTTGCCTTTTACATCACACATATTTGTTACAGAATATAATAGGTGCGATACACACATATAGTGTGGCAGACCTGAGATTTTCGCGAACTGATAGACACAGTCCGCTTGTAAAATATGTGGAACAAATATCTTTTGGCCAACCTTCATCATCACGGTCGTATTTGCGATCAAGCTCTTATTCTGGAGTTACCACTTGGTCACAAGTGTTATCCTAATGATTTTTGACATCGAGGTATCCATATTTGTTTGAAAACAGTTATTCGAAATTCTGAAAGCTAATACCGACAATCATTAGAATACATGGAGATAGTGCCTTATATTCATATTTAAATCACCGATATCAGGTTCAACTCTCCAGTCATGTTTGGTAAGGAAAAGCTGGGAGAAGAAAACCTGTAAGGACAACATGAGTTAGAATTGCGTGAATTCACACTCAGGCTATCAAACAGCTTGCATTAGAGTTGGCCTTACACCTTTCCCAAAGGAATCCTGAGCTCTCAGCTTCCATGGTAAACCAACAAGGATCTAATGCATATACTGTTCATCCATATCAGTTCAGTTTTTAAGTTCCAGTGATAGCCGTACATCCATTTAACCAGGTAGTCCATTTTGTGCTTGTAAGCTCTCTCTTTCCTCCTCGGATCTTCAACATTAGTGAAAAGATTATTTCCAACTTAACATATTGTCTCTAAGAGATAGCACAAATATTCTCCCAAGTCAAAGATATATACCCCAAAACGTTAATGATAAATCTATGAATTGTCGTCAACGGACCTGTTCAATTTATAAATCTTACCAAATAAAAATACACATAGAACATAATAACAATTCAAAAACAAGTCTTCATGTTGCCTTTTATTCAGACCAGTTGTTCAGAAAAGCACATCCATGTGGCATTAGAGTTAAAGGTACCCTAGTGCTAATTTATTTTGTTCATTCATTCAAATAGTTCTGCAAAATTTTGCAGTACTTACTTGAAGTTATTTACTGTCTACTGGGAAGTGGTATAAGAAATCCTAATAATCTATAAACGTTCAGCGATGCTGAAACACCAAATATTATTTCTGTGACATGGACATACACTTCTAACGTTCTCTATCAATAGCACTACAAATTGCAAAATGCGGACTTATGTATGCACATATGTTTACTTATAATGGAAATAGAACACAGATAATATTTGAGTGCAATAGTAATTTTCATTTAAGCAACTGTGCTACTAATTTGATAAGTAAAATAAAAGTCATTACTGTATATAATATATAAACTAATTGCCTCTTAAGGACCCGAATGGTTTGTGCTTAAAATGGGCGTTTGGAAGAATCCGATGTAGGTCTGTTTTCGATATGAAACGAAAGATATCTGCCAAGCGTCGCGCATATAACGTGGTATTAAGAATATTAATATAAATTACGAAATGGTTGACTTTATTTTCATGCTGATACGGGTGTTCGAGAAAAGTTATAATAATGGGTAAAAAGACACTCAAGGTTTGTCAGGTTTTTCTAATATTCTCGACCCTTATGTTTGAGAAGTCTATCCCGACTGCTCAAATAACCATTTCTCATAAGTTGTGGCTTGCTGCCTTAGACTAAGCTGAATTTAATGGTGCAATTCACCGTGATTTTCCTCAGTCGTCCGGTGCCTTTCCAAAAGTATCTATTTTTATTAAAATCAAGATTTTTTAGTAGCTCGATAAGCCACTGGTAAATATAATTTAAGCAGACATGATAAATAAGCGATCACGTTTTTACCACATGTTTAACAATGTATGTTTAACTAAGTTAACGCCAGATGCGTCATGATTGTTTGGAATGCTATTAAACGCGGTCTAGAGTTTGGTGTTATAAGCCTTTAAGGGAATAACTCACCAGCCATGCACTACAGTTCTGCCTTACTTGGGCAACACTTTAGCACAGTTATTAGCGACGTCCTTGCAAGTTAGCTATTAGTAATAAAACATTATACCATTTCACGACTATAGAAAACGCAAAGTTAGGGAAATATTTGCTTTGTAATACTACCTATCTTTTAAGGATAAGCCTATTTCGATTCGTCGTAATATGCCCACGCGAATGCTTTTGACTAGCTTCACCTGACATAGGTGAAAATTCATTTCCTGAATCTTGCTTTCTACGAATCTGGAATGACTGCCGAACCTTAGATATTTTAAACAGCTGCTACACGCTCTTGGTTTTCAGGTGCGGGCATTTTGATTTCGTCGTAGATTCCATTCTATTATTCCATTATTTTACTTTGTTTGATAATGATTACAGAATGTTGCAATTAAAATGTATTTATAAATTTACTTGCATTTTTAAACGGAAAGCAGTTGCCATTACTTCGAGACTTGCTAGTGCGTTAACTGTGTTGAATAAGCTGAACGAACGGGCATCAACTGCGTTTGCACAATAGAAAAAGACTGTAATCACAGCTCAAGTCCCCTATCCAGTTAACATTATTAGAATAATTGCAAGCAATTTACAATATCCTAATAAATACTCGTAAATTTTTATGCAGCACAAAAGTCTAAGTGAAGCAGTTTTCATATTTGCAAATCTCGAACGACATATCTGAATAACTTTTTCTATGAATTCTGTACTCTTAACGACCAGCATATGGTTACATACCTTAAAGTTGATTATATAGTTTAGTTGACAAACTTAACTTGAAAATCCCATGGTGGATAATAAATACTAAATTGTGGTGGTATACTAACGAAGGATTAACTAATGCACTTGCGCTTTGTATGTTTCTTTCATTCCGGCGGTTTTTTAATGCACTTATCTTGTTTCCCCTTATACTATCTTGAATTCTTAAAGAGGACTAAAATAGTTAGCTCTAAAGCATATCACTCCTAAAAAGTGGTCATCTCTTTTGTGTAATGTTGTCAGAAAATCAATGCCTTCTAAGGTGCAACTGTGGGAGTAAATTCGGTATAAAATTGCAAAGCGGATATGGTTTGAAGAGTCGTGACTAACCTGTGCTTTTTGAATATCCATTTCTGCCCTCTTGGTGCATCCAGGGGCAAGGAATGGGCGACCAGGAAGGTAGTTGGGATTCAGCTCTGTTCCACGTTGCGTTGGCTGGTAATGCGGTCTTGACATCTCGTCAGCGAATGTAGACCTCCCATATAAGGTCACACACCTGTCTTTCGTTACCATGGGCGCAGAATCGATAAAGAAGGGATAGACGCTTGCGGGCTTACGCCTGTCGTATACATGATGTGCCGCATGCGGAACGAAACGAACGCACGTGTCTGTAATGAGAAAAAGTCCACCCTTATATATTAGAAACATTCGACAAGCAAACGATTTTAAATTTTCACCGTTTATTATAGTAGTTATATTTACAGTTGCCTGCCTGTAATAAACATTCTTCGCCCAGCATCACTAATTCTCAATAATATGTTTTAACTTGAAATTGTTTAAATTTAACAGTCTAATATATTGAATTTTCTTTCACATTCATAGTAACAGGTTCCAAATAACAAGTTATTTTCGTCCAGTTAATCAAATTACTATAACAGGATGATTGACAGCAACTGATTATTCAGTGTCCATTTGTTGAAAGCAATCAAACGCATTTTCCTGTTACAAAATATACAGCATAGAAGTTACCTAAATTTCGTGCCGATGTAGACATAAAGTGTTTGCCTGAGGTTGACCGAAGAGGGATTTGTGCTCGTGAATTGACACATGCAATCAGACCAATTTGTCCGGGACTGGAAGCGCCTGAAATGAGTTGCCCACTGTCATCCGAAATGACAGTAACCGGAGCGTCCAAAGAAAAGCTTTTCGTTGAGGAGAGTTTAACTGGCAGAAGGAGAAATGACGGTGATTTGATAAGTGAAATGTGCTGCATGGATTGATGAACACGACCGGTGTTCAACAAATATGCAGCAGACGACCAATCTTTATGTCCCTATGAACATAAAGGTAATCTTGGCTGCAATAATAGAGATATAAGTGACTGAATTAGTTCGAGGAAACTTGTTAACCTATGATGATCAAAGTTACGCAGTTAGTACGCAGTGTTAAGTTGTAACAACTGAACTGATAAATAAGCAAATGTCTTAAACTTAAACGATTGGTTCGAAGAACCAGCTGATAGCATTTAATATTTTGTAGCCGTTAAATGGTACACTAACAAAAAGTAAATGAATTATGTTGCGATAACTCTCCATGTTAAGGTAAATATTTACATACCCATGTGAGAACTGCAATAATTCCCGTACGTCAGATAAATTATTGTGAAATGTAGGATCAATCGTGCGTCCATATTTACAAAGAGGTCCTAGTGTCTGCTGGTAGGCTTCACATCATCAAAGCTCGTTGTGCGGACCACCACATATAGCAATTAGGTTCTTTTTCGCAAAGTAGAAGAAACTATCTATTGTTGGTCCCACTATAAAAGCTATAGTTTGTAGGTTTTACAGCTGGTCTTCAATGAGTTCACACATTTTGCTGTGCTTAGATGCCTGTGACCTATGCCAAAATAAGGAACCGTACTTGTTATATAATACTCCGATAATATCTTCTACTACCTAGCAAACTTTTACTAGGTTCCTGGTTATCTAGTTTGCTTCATTGATGGTAGCACTTAACTTCATACTCGACAGATTGCACTGTTCTACTCGCTTAAAATAGCTAATCGACTGCTTCCCTGAAGCTTCATTCCCATTGATCCACAATACTAGCTAAAAGGTATACATTAAAAGAATTTTTCGCTTAGCGTAGGCGTTCTAACACACTGAGCACAAAGTGACGTTATACGTGCACTTTTTATTCCTCCTAATCCATGTGACAAGCTTCATGATGCCTTCAGTTTGTCAACTTTCAATAAATGACAGAGAGCTGATAAACACCGAGGTAAACTTGCTACCGTTCACTTCATAGCCGCTATACATCCGTTTCCTTCCTCTTTCCAAATGTATGGGTGCGCACGGGCTGAAAGGATTGAACATCCGATTCCATTATATTAGTAAATTCAGAAACGGTGCGCTTCCTTGTAGATATGTATGTTTCCACTTTTGCTTTTACAAGCTGCGTTCCAGTGTTATTTATAAGAAATAAATATGTTTTTGAACCATTATTAAATTCGTTTTCCTTTTACATGCTGCGATTGTTCTTAATCCGTCTCTTGCGTCTGTTCTATCTGCCTACTCCGCAGCCTATTTTATTTTATAACAAACAAGGCACATCTAACCATTGTGTGATTATTCCACACCATATTTAATGACGGGAATCTAGCTCGATAAAAGCAATAATATCTAACACCCCCTTATTCTGTGTAGTCCTTTTTCGAAGGCTTTTGCCCCTTTATGCTTTTATTCACTTCCCTTACTAAGTGTTTTAATTTCAAGGCAAGGCCTATAATATGTCAAGTTAGTTAACTTTAACCACAAGGCGTGCTGCTTATTCTGCCATCTGTTGTCGCATTGCAAATTGCCGAAAGAACGTCTGCAACTGTTGACTCAACTCCAGTCGCCGATGCATTAATTGGATGCTCCCTATGGTTACTTTCAAAAAGTCCCAGCTGGTTATGTCGGTAAAGTCGTCCCACGCAAATGCCCAGCAAATTTCGCTGATCTAGTGTACATACTGACAAGCAGAATCTCATTGTCAAAAGTATGCTGCCGGATTCTCTCTCTGATAGCCTGATATACGTTTTCTGTCTAGTATCTCTATTATAAAACCCAGAACGTATGTACATGAGTAGGGTAACGAACTTCTTGAGTTCTGTTGCATTCGAGTTAACTGAAATGTGTACGCGTGTTAAAATGGCTACTGAGTTCAAGGTGTCAGAAATCATTCAGCTAACAACTAACTGAAACACTGTGCAAAAGTCATTGTCTTACCCGTTGTTAATACCTACTACACAACAACTACAAGAATACTCTGGATAATAAGTGCCCGAAGCTTGTCGGAGTTATTAGAAAACCATTTGCTAGTACGTTGATTCTAAACAAACTGGGTGTGTGGCCTGTTGCGCGAATGAAAGGGATGATCATATTTAAGAACAAAAGCTCCTTCCAAATTGAATTTAATCATGCTAAATATACCAGCAGCTCAAAAAACTTAAGAGAACTAATTATATTTGTTAATCACGTAACTGAATGATCTGGGTTATACCGGTTGTTAATTTAATCAGCTCCATAGGTAGAACCGCTCAGTTTGACCTTTTTGCAAAAGCAAGTGACTCTACAACCATGTTGAAAACAATAGGTGATAGCAATAGCCAGAGGGTTGATTTAATTGCCGATCCACACAACGTCGTTCCTCGGTAGGTTACAGTGAACTCTCGATCTGTAGGGATACAATCAGCAGTTTGGCCAATCAAAAAATCATGAAACCTTTATGTATGTCACATGGAGCCACTTAGTCCTAAATCAGCGACTGAACTATCCGCGTATGCTTCAAGGGAAGTGACGACAGTTTGATTAGCAGATCAAACTCTATAAGATATTGAATACCAAAGCAAAGCTTAGCGCGCCATCTGGAAGTGGTTGCCGCAGTCCTCCCCGAAAGAATTCATTTCAAAGCACTTACGCTCAAGTTTCCGAGATAAAATCCAGACGACATCCCTCATGGATCAGTAGCTTAAGCTGATGGTTGATTGACATCTGCCTCTAGCAGTCATGGGTTCGATCCTAATTAAAGGACCGAGGGAATGTGCACCACTGACGAGCCCTAATAGGGTGCAAGTTGTCTTGTGTTTTTCCGGACTAGGCTGTGCTATGTAGCTCGTGAACTATCGGGAAGAATACCTTGAAAATTCCATCTTTGTTGAGTCTAAGGTTGATTACAGATTACCATTAGCTGAAAAGCACCAATCCCATTATGACCAGAGTTGCTCGCGGATCGTCTGATTACTAGGCATTTAACTTTCAAGATGACAATCCACAGTACATTTCTTGCATATCCCAACTCTTTTATCGGAGCCTAAGATTAACTTCACTACGCCACTTTCGTTGCATACGTTAAACACTTCTTAATTACCCCTTCTTATAATTGCTGCACACATAAATTTGACGAAATACAAATAAAATAGTCAGCGTCACTTTATCAGACGCATCTAGCGTTACTCAAGTTTTGGTTTTAATGGTAGATGGAATAAACTAATATTTGAACCCACATGACTTCGCAACTTGGATTCAAACCTTAGCATACTGCATGCAGGAAGCCTACATAGTGTAATACCGGAAATTACAAGTGCAATCATAAAATTGACATAAACTACGTGGCATCCAAAGTATGATAGTAATGAATAAATTTAGGGCCATGTTTGGAGAATACTTTTAACTTGTAAGTTTCTTCTGTGATAAAACAGTTTAAGTAGCTGCATGCGGTATAAAAAAAGCTAAGTGAATTCCACAGGGTGAATGACAGCTCACTGTCATCTGCGAAAACTAAACAAATCCTAAATTTCCAATTGATAGCTTACCGATTATTTGACATTCTAAGGGTTCACGTATAGCACACAACTAGTTGTCAAAGTGCGAAAATGTACCAAGACAAGGAAAGCGATTGATTTGGTGCTATGTTGAAAGGCAAATATACGCATAGAATTGAGTGCCATCAAAAATTATGGAAAATAATATCGGATACACTAGAACTGTTTGTAGCGCATGCTACACATGCGATCGCAAGGTATTGGTTACTATTGACTCATCCCTTTTTTATTTATTTATTTATTCTATGGTAAGTCGACTTGCTCTTTATCGGTTCCGCTGTTGTACATTTTAAAACTCTTTCGCAAGCCTACTGAGATAACGGGGCCATTTGCCGTTGGATATCTTATGGCTGCAGCGATCATGCAACGGGATTGTTCCGCTACATGTGACAAGCCGAATAGTTCTAAGAGCACAGAAGAATCCCACTTCGTAATCACCTATGAAAATCTGTCCGAACTAATAGCGTGCGACAAGCTGGTATTTCCCATCCAAATGATACCCTGAAATGCCTGAGAGTGGAGTTTGTCAATAATTTCAACAGGCTAGTGGTAAGCACATCAAAAATCTAAATCCACGTAACAAAAGACTATTGCTAAGAAGCAGGAATCGTAAACGCACGGAATTGATGGACTGAACTTGGTTTGGCAACATAGCATCTCCGACCGAGCACACCTCTATACACTCCAAATTAACCACTGGGTCAAGTTCGTTTAGGGGCGCAGAGCGAATTGCTAACAATATTAGGTGCCAAATATTTTGTTCTAACCCCAAGTTGCTAAACAGAGACGTAAAAACGTCGGTGGGTTAAGCGCGGAATTTCTTCTCTGCATACATCATGCGGGCTAGCGCAAACGGCACCACAGGCGACCATCCTTCTTTGACAACAGTTCAACCGTCTCTATAAAAGTTTGCAATCATCTTTCCTTCTGCCTACGCAGCCCTTGCCACAATCAGAGCTTAACCGCATTCGCCGTACATCCGCTGATGTACTGAAACCGTTGATATCCTTGCGCGATTAGAGCTCTGCTGGTGCAAGTGTCGTTAACACAAAGACAATAAATGAGTTTACTAGGAGTTCAGTTGAACCCTTGGCGATATTTATTCTACGATGTCTTAATGCTTTACTGGTTTTCCACCACGCGGAAGCAATGGATTAGCCATGAACTCTACATAAGTAGCAGTGGTGCAGAATCAGCGAATTATCGACCGACACCACTTTTTACTATGATATCCTAGATCTTGATTCTTGGTGACTTAGCTCCACAAAGAGTATCTGAACAATACCAAATTGTTCATTCCGGAGAATTATAGATTCCGCCACTATCGGTCACCTGCTACTAGTCCTTTGATAGTTCGTGC